AGAGGAATATTTGCTTCAACAATTGCGAAGGCTGGGAAATTATTGCCCAAAGAGACAGTTGAAAAGGTCCGGAGTTTTTATGAGAGCGATAGTTGGATGCTGCCAGGGATGAACGATAAAGTGTCAGTCAGAATCAATGACGTGAAGAAAATAATGCAGGAGCGAATGGTCCTCGAGAACTTGAATGATCTTCATGAGAAATATAAAATTGCTCATCCAGAGTCTCCGGTGGGATTCAGCAAATTTGCGGAATTGAGGCCGAAACACTGTGTATTGGTAGGAGCGAGTGGTAGTCACGTGGTATGTATCTGTACCTATCATCAAAATTGTAAGCTGATGTTGGATGCAATCAACATTTCTACTCTCACTAAAAACTCATCATATCTCCTTACCGACTATAAAGACTGTCTTGCAAGACTCATGTGCCGTAATCCAACGCTTGAATGCCACTTAGATGAGTGTAAAAACTGTCCTGGAGTCGAAGGATTATCGCGCGAGCTGAAAGAATTCCTCCACGATGCTGTGATTGAAACTGTAGAATTCAGGACTTGGCAATCTGTGGATAGAACAACATTACAGACCCAGAGACTTCCAGTGTATGAATTTGTTGATGTACTTTGTGAGAGATTGAAAGTATTGAAATCTCATCATTTTATTGCCATACAACAAAACGCTTTCGTGAAAGAACGAAAGGGGAATTTAATTGAGGGTGAAATTCTAGTGCAGGCCGATTTTTCGGAGAATTATTCTTTCATAGCTGAAGACGCTGCTCAATCGTTCCATTACAACAATGATCAATGCACTGTCCATCATGTGGTCTATTATTATCGCTACGGCAATGATATTCGAAATAGAAGTCTAGTCCTCTTATCTGACAGTCTCGTTCACGATACTACTGCAGTTCATTTAATGCAACAGATTCTGATACAACACATAAAACAAGTCTGTGCTGTCGTAAACAAATTGATCTATATTACAGATGGTGCTGGACAGCAGTATAAGAATCGATATAACATGGCTAATCTTTTGTTGCATAAAAATGATTTTGGAGTTGAAACAGAGGCACACTACTATGCGACCGCGCATGGAAAGACAGCATGCGATGGCGTAGGCGCAGTCTTGAAGAGGGAAGCAAGACGTAGAAGTCTGCAAATTACTAATGGTGAACCTATTCTCACTCCAGATGGTCTGTTCCTGTGGGCAAAGAATAATTTCAAGGATTTCGATGTGTTTTTCTACACTAAACAGGAACAGGAGGATATGAAAGAACGTTTGAAAACAAGATTCGACAGTGTAAAGGCGATTCCAGCGATACAAAAAAATCACGGCTTCATTCCTGTGGGAGAAAAGGAATTATTGATTAAGAAATATTCTTCTGCGACTACGAGAGAAGTTTTTCCAAAAGCGAAGAAACGAAATGGACGACGTACATTAAGATAGCCATTGTGATTCAGAAAATTTCAATTTGAAATTGTTTTTTCTCTATAATTTAATGTTTATTTTTCAAATTACAAACGCAAAACAGACATATACTCCATGTTGATTTAAAAACTCATCAAATGTTTGGTACTTTGCGAATTCTCATATTCGTTTACGTAAGTAGAGCTGTTAATAATCAATAAATTCAACTTTTTTCTATAAAAAACGTTTTTTATCCATCACTACTTATGCATCTCATTTTCAAATTATGCCGAAAAATTGCACGCTCATCTGTTCATGAGGCATTCATCATTATTCAGGAACCAAATTCGGAAAATCTAATTTTTCATGGGAAGAAAAATTTTCTCTCATCTCCATATGGCTATCCCATTGTGAAATACCCCGAAAAAGTTGAGTAATATCATTATTCATCGAAGAAAAAAAAAATTATTCGATTTTCGAATGGCCCCTGCATAACAGAAGAATTTAAATAACAAAAAACTTAAAAAGTGACTCAGCATTCTTCCTCGTGTTACTGTCGTATTTTTATTCCAAAAGTATATGAAAAAACGAAAAAAATATTTTTTTATTCATCAAAATCGGCCAATTCGTTCGCAAGATATGATTTTTCAAAAATTTGAGTTTTGTTATTTGTCCTGGCCAAACAATGAATGTTAAAGGAGCAAAAATTGAGAGGAAGTATGTACTCATATAGTACTTGACTGGTAGCATGCTAAGTCAAGATTCTGAGAACCAACAAATTCCAGGGTGGCTGAGTTGACATGGAATGTCCCACGTACGGACGAGGTTTAAAAATTGCATTTTCAAACCTTTTGAATCATACTGGGTTGGTATAATACAAAACAAGTGGGAAATTGCCCTTGTATTGCATGTTGGCGATTGATAGGGCTCAACAATACTCACATTCGAAAAAAAGCTTCCATTCCATTCATTCAATAGTGCACAATAGAAGAAAAACTGTGTTACATGCGTACCCACTAGGGTGGCCCATTTTACGGATATTCCTGAATATTTCCGATTTCGCCTCAAAAAATGATTCTTCAGTTGATAAAATACCCCTGTGAATTTTTTCATATTTTTAAAATGCATTTTGATGGTTGCGCCGTGCGTTCAAAGTTTGACCACAATTTTTGACCTGCTGGCAGTAAAGGTCATAAAACTTGGGTAGAAGTTAAATATCCTCAATGGTACGCCCGTGTCAGGTAGTACGTATGGCTCCGAGTGAGGGTTCGGGTGTGTCACCCAGGTAATATGTCTCTTACAGTTGCAAACAATCCCCGGAAAAGGCTTTCAACAATGGGAAACGCATTGTTAATGTACTAGCAACTAATTTTTTTTTAATCGATAGATATTGACACGTAAATCCAATTTTTCCAATGGTTTTTGCCATTTCAAGTGGGGCGCATATAAGAAAAACACTTTGAAAAAACCTTTGAAAAGGCCTTTTACTCATTTCTGAGAAAATGGTCAACTTCTTTTCAAATTTTTATGAAATTTATTTTTCAAGTTCTCAAAGAGTTCTACATTTTTTGTCTTATGTGTTTTCTCATTTAATCATGTCCTAAGCTAGTAATTTCAACTAGTTTATAAATATTATTAAAAAATGTAAGTACTAGTGGCTTTTTTTCTTACCGACCTATAGTTTGTAACATTCAGATGAAATTTTGTAAATAGTTTTCATGTTTTTGGATGATGGATTCATAAAAGAGTGATAATAAAGGACGGAACCCTGTGATAACTGGTTCGTCAGTAACGCTACAGTCGGCAGAATGGGGGTAAGGCAAACCCGCACTAATGTTAAGGAGTGGTGGAAGAGAAGATTCCATTCATCAGAGCAGCGAAATAATTCTTCAACATTTCATGTAGCAATTTTTTAAATACTTCGTCTTTTTTGTTTTTTTTTTTACTTTTTTAGTCTTTGATTATTCTCGATATATTGAGAATTGGATAGTCCTCATGGACAAAATATATCTTTTCAATCTGAAGGAAAACATGAAATTAATTAAAATGGTTCGAAAAATAATGATATCAAATAGAGTTGAAGGAAATAAGTACAATTGACTTTCTGGGTTGAATAAACGCTCCCAGGATTCCTTCGGATTAAGTTAGATTTGTCCAATGCCTTTTTCGTTACAAATGTACTTGACATTTATTTCAAATATATGAGAAATATAAAATTCTCAATATATAAAAAATAATCGAAGAGTAAAAAATACAAAAAAACAAAGAAAAAAAAATTATTAAAAACTTGATACATGAAATGTTGAAGAATAATTTTTCTGGCCTAATGAATGTGTACAAAAATTGATAAATTTTCCAGATGGATGGGTGGATAGGGAGTGGGAAGTGATGAAGATGAGTGTCCAAGGTTGTGAAAAAACAAGAGAGATTTAGAACCATAAGGCGAAATTGTATAATGTCACTTAATTAATCGATATTTACAATATTTACACTGCAAATTTCACTTGATGATTGTCCAACTATGTTCTGAAAATTGTCCACAATTAAATCAGATGAGTGTAACCGAAATTGATGAGAAATTGCCGATATAATCTGATCGAAACCACAACGAAATAACCGATCTAGAACCGAGAGATTGCAATGTGTCGTTGATGCTAAATTGATACGAACTGTCCGGAGAGGCCCGGTTGACCAACCATTGCCGCCCGAACCCCATGACCGAGATGACCCGATGATCCACGACTGGCCCATGGCGCTGACAAGCCTCAATTTCGGACATTCCACTCGCCTTTATCACCGGAGGATGAAGAATGATCCGCTGCTGCTTCCTCCTCGGTGCTGACGAGTAGTGGAACCACTCGATTGATGTGTCTTGTGTAAATGTTGGTTCCGCCTGCTCCTGTGCTGATGTCTACCACTCTAGTCAAGTTGTCATCACTTGGATGAATACGTGAGACTCTTCCTAGTAGCCACTTGGTTGGTGGGTATCTCTCGTCGACGATGAGCACGAGTGTCCCAACCTTGATGGTGTCTGTCGGATTTTTCCATTTGTAGATGTTTTGATAGTAATGCACGCACTCCCGAGACCACCTGTCCCAGAAGTGTTGAGAGATTTTTGTGATCATTTTCCACCTCTTGAGGCCTTCCACTCTTTCATTGAGACCTGATGATTCTGGTACTGCGTTGATCGGTTCTCCAATGATGAAATATCTTGGTGTGAGAGCTCTGCAGTCCTCAGGGTCGTCTGATATTGCACAGAGAGGCCTCGAGTTTAGCTGACCTTCGATTTGTACGATGAGTGTGTTCAACTTCTCGTAGGTAAGCACCAGATTCCCTGTGATTCGTTTGAGATGAAACTTGACAGATTTCACCGCAGCCTCCCACTTTCCTCCCATGTGAGGTGATCGCGGTGAGATGAAGATCTGTTTAGTGCAATTTGATACCAACTCATTGATGATGTGATGAATGTCCTACCTTGATTCGTCCAAGAGCTGCCCAAGCTCCTTGTCTGCTCCCACAAATGTCTTAGCATTCTCGCTGCTGAGAGTGGCACAGATTCCTCTCCTTCCAGTAAACTTCTTCCAGGTTTCGATGAAGGCCTATAATGTGAGATCCGTGATGAGTTCCAGATGAATTGTCGACGTGGCAAGACACCCGAAAACTGCGATGTAGCCCTGATATTGCTTAGCTCCTGGTCCTCTCCATCTGTTGATTTTCAAGGGACCAGCGTAGTCCACTCCTGTGTGGAGAAATGCTCGAACTGGTGTGATCCTGCTTGGAGGAAGCTGATCCATCAACTGTTGTGCCCTGATTGCACGATGTCGAGCACAGGTGACGCACTTTAGGATGTGGGATTTTACTGGAACGTCCACCGATGATCCAGTAACTTTGCCTGATCTATGCCAGCATTGCCTGTACACCTCCATGAAAAGTTTTACGATGAGCTTCCTCGATGACCAGTGATGTGAACCTTGATTGTTTGGGTAGCATTGCTGGATTCTTAGCTTCTGGCTGAAGATCTGATCTGTTCAGCCGCCCGCCAAGACGTAGTGTTTGATCCTCGTCCACATAAGGAATCAGCCTTGCCATTGGATGATTGCTGTTGGTGTCTTGTCCATTGTTGAGCCGATTGATGATTGACCCAAAGTGCTTATTCTGTGTGAAGTTGATCCAGAAGATTCTGGTTTCTTCCAGCTCCTCTGGTTGTAGATCTAGTTCTCTAGGGATTGATTCCCTTCTCATGTTGTTGATGGCTCGTAGGACTCTAGCTGAAATCCTTAGCAACCTGTCCATTGTGAAGTACCTCTCCAAGAAGTCTTGAGGTCTTTCCAGATTCAGCGCCACTCGATGAGCAACCACTGGTCTTTCCTCCCGAGCTGCTTTTGCCGATGATTCGATCGATGAAGATGATGATGGCCATTCTTCCTTTGGTGATTTTAGCCATGATGGACCATTCCACCACAGATGATGTTCCACTAATTAATCTCGAGGTAATCCTCTTGATGCACATTCAGCTGGATTCTCGACCCCTCTGATATGCCTCCATTCAGCTGCTAGTAAGGAATTTTGGATCTTGAGAACTCGATTCTGAACAAAATCCTTCCATCTTGATGGGAGACCATTGATCCATGTGAGCGCCACCGTGGAGTCAGACCAGAGAAAGAGTTGTAGAGTCTCTTTCTCCAGCATCTTCCTGATGTAGATGACCAGATCTGTGAGGATTACAGCAACTGTCAGTTCCAAACGACGAATTATCATTTTCTTCAATGGTGCAACCTTGGTTTTTGCACTAACCAAGATGACTGATGGTTCTGCCTGTCGATTTTCCACTCTGATGTAGACTGCTACCCCCATTGTTTGATTTGATGCATTAGCAAATCCATGAAGTTGGATGTTGCTTGACGTAGATGATGTTTGAAGCCATTGAGGAATGGAGATCTGATCCAGTTGTGAGAATTCTTTCCTGAGCTGTTTCCAACGTCTGATGTGACTCAAGGGCAGTTGATCATCTCAACCAATCTTGAGAAGCCACAGCTCCTGAATGAAGATCTTTGCCGTGATGATAACTGGTCCGATGAGTCCCAGAGGATCGTTAATCTGTGCGATCTCTGAGAGGTTTGTCCTGTTGGTGATCTTGTCCGATGATGACTTCTTTGATTTGTAGATGAAACTGTCTCAATGAGGATTCCAACACAACCCCAATACCTTGACAATCGTGTCCTCGAATTGAACAGCTGACATTGATTTTGTTGATAATTGAAGTTCCTGTAGAACTCCTTGATGATTTGATATCCATTTTTGCAGGGGTAGACCGCCCGCCATGCAAAGGTTGATGAGTTGACTGATGAGATCCTTGAGCTGTTTCTCAGATTCTGCTGCCCCGTAGATATCGTCGACGTATCTCCCTTTTGTCAGGGAAACAGCCGCCAGTGGAAACCGATGACCCTCATCTTCAACCAACCATGAAGCCAACCATGGAACACAAGTCTGCCCATACGTAACTGTTGTCAGCTGATAGGTGATGATGTTGCCTTCCTCATCCTTGCAAAGAATCCTTTGGAGATCCCAGTCCTCTGGACGAACCTTGATTTGACGAAACATCTTCACGATGTCTGTCCCGATGATTAGGCGATGAGTTCTCAACCAGATGAGAACGTCTGAACCTTCTGTTTGTAGCTTTCTTTCTGCATGAAGTATCTCATTGAGTGATACTCCTGATGTTGTCTTACTGTATCCGTTGAAGACTACCCTGCGTTTAGTAGTGATGCTGTCTTCCCTTAAGAGACCGTGATGAGGAAGATAGTGGACCGGTGATGGCTCTGATGACTCTGAGACCCTTCTCATGTGTCCCAGATCTTCAGATTCCTTGATGAAATCCTTGCAGAGCTTTCCATACTCCAGATTTGTCTCTAGTTTCTTCGCCGTTCGATGAAGTAGTTGAAGAGCGGTTCTCCTAGAATCGCCCAGAGCTGATGGTGATGTCTTGAGTGGGGGACGCACCACAAAACGCTCCTCACTGTTCCTTGTATGTGTTCCTTGGAAGTGTAGCTCACACTCCTGATCCTCAGGATTGAGATGCACCGCCTCAGTTGATCGAAGTTCCTCCTGAACCCAGAATTTCTTAAGATCTAACAGCTGCTCAGTCGGAGACTCTCGCACTGCAGTTAGAAAAGACTTCGGCTTGCAGTCTGTACAGCAGACGGTCCCAGAAACTATCCAACCAAAAATAGTTTGTTGCGCAACAAGTTGATTGTCTGGTGATTTGTTGATCTCATTTCCAATGATCTGACCATAATGCCCCGATGATGATGTCCATGGATTCAGGTTTGAGATAATTGTTATCTGCTAATTGAAGATCTTGAAGATGATTTTTCGCTGCCTTTGTGCAGTGAATTGATGGTAAGATTGATGTCAGCTTAGCCAGGACGTGAGCTGTGATCTCGACCTGATGTTGAAGGTCAAATCGAGAGTGAAGAGTGACCTTGAGTGCACCACGAGTTGATCTTGACTCTAAACCTCCAATTCCGAAGACTCTGATGTGCGATGATGATCGACGAAGACGAAGAACCTGAACCAGTTGTTCAGTGATGAAGGTGACCTCTGATCCTTGATCAATCAGAAGGCATAGCATGTGATGAGAACCGGATGCTGATGCATCAGTTTTTTGGCAGTTGCCAATAGCACAACCCGTCTGATGATGTCGATGAAGACTGATGGATGACCTTGCTGTCAGAGGACACCCCCGCTGTCTCTGACCTTGATGATGATGTTCCTGATGACTGGAGGTGGCCAGTTGAACCCTCAACTGACCGCGATGCTGATGATGATGACGATGCAATCCACTGTGAGACCTCTGGAGAGTTGAGAGAGTCGTGAATTCTCTCTATTGCCATTGATCGCGATGATGATGATTTGCCTAGGGATAGAAACAACCAGATGAGGGCTGTATCATTGCCGGAATAAATAATAAGGAAAATGATACTTAACCTCTCGATCCGGTTGCTCCTGGATCTCCCTGGTTGTCCTGTGCAGCTGGTGCTGGAGGACGATCCTGTGGTCTCTCTATCTTTCTGGGATGTTCTGACGATCCCTCATGGATCGACGTATGATGTTTGCCCTTCCATTTCTGGCAAGTGATGCTGCTCTTGCAGTTGTCCACCCTGTGCGGACCGAAGCAGTTGGAACAGAGGCTCCTTTTTGAGATGAAGTCTCGTCGTTCAGCTGCAGATTTGGCCATGAAGCGTTCACACTTGGACCCCAGCCAATGTGAACCATCACAAAGTCGACAGAAAGGTCCAGATGTTGATGATTCTGATGATTCCTCGTTGTTTGATGGTGCAGTCACAGCTGATGTCTGATAAACTCGAGCTGATGACTGCTTGACCTTGCTCTTCTGGAGAGTGCTGATCTTGGAGGGTTTTGCAGGATCTTCCCTCTCAACATTTTCCAAGGCTCTAGCTCTTGCCTCTAAGAAGTGGAGGAACTCCCTGAGAGGACGAGGATTTCTCTCTGATCCCATATGAACCTCCCAAGCCTTCTTGGTATCGAGATAGATGATTCTCCTGATGACCCTTGATACGATGATATCCCAATGCTCGATAGGAGCACCGAGAGGCTTCAGTGCATCCAGCGATTGTGTGACTGTGTTCACCAGCGTAGACAGACCCTTGGATGACTTCTCGTTGATGCGCTTTAGATCTAGAATGCGATCGATGTGCGTATAGATTATAAGCCTTGGGTTGTCATAGTGAGCCTTCAGCTTATTCCAAGCGATTTCGAAGTTCACAGCAGACACTTGAAGATTGGAGATCATCTCGTATGGCCCTCCCTTTAGTGCATTCTGAAGCTTGATCATTTTTTGAACTGCTCCAAGCTTTGCCTTGGATTTGACGAGAGAAGTGAAGACGTCTTCGAAAGTCTTCCACTCCTCAAACTTTTCATCGAAAACCCTGATGTTGAGTTTCGATAAATGATACTTATCATTCTCCTCAGTCTCTTATTTGATCTTCGTGATCTGATGTCTCAGTTCTCCGATGACGCTAAATGCCTGATCATAGATGTTCATGACTTCCCCATAAGTGTTGAGGAGAGTGTAGTTAGAATCAGCTAGAAGTGTAGACTTAGTTTTGATGATGCTGACATGATTGAATCGAAACTCCCCATAATGCGTCTCGATGATCTTCTCCCTTCCTTTGAGTCTCTCAATAGTCGTCTCTTCAGGTTTGTAGCCCTCAAGGTCAGCGAGAGTATCCTTTAGATGATCCCTCAGTTGATATTGCAGAGCCATGAGCAAATCGAACTGAGCCTGATCTGCTTCTCATGCATGCTCAGATGGATGTTCAGAGGGGATTCATGGTGACGGTGACCGATGGCCATTGCCATTATTAACTAGATTTTCTTGACTCATGATGGAGAAGTTCTAAAGTGATGGATGAGAACCCTTGACATAGTACCGATGATGAGAGACACTGATCGAAACTGATGAGACACCGGTGACGATGAGAACCACTGATAATTCTCAGCACCGCGCACCACTGTCGGTTTGTAGCTGAGATAATCCCCGAGAGTTTGAATGTTCACGGTGCGAGTGGCCGCGAGTCAAAACGTAAACACTGCTATTGTTCTCGAACACTGTCGCACAAACACCAAATTCTTGAGTCCTGTTGAGTGCTCGTGTGAACCCTGATTTTGGGCTTTCCACCAGGCGTCCAAATTATCACTCGTATTTCCCTAAGTCGTTAGTTCAAACCCTTCACTTTTTTACACTCCCTGATCCGGCTCGAAGGACCATGTACAAAAGTTGATGAATTTTCCAGATGGGTGGGTGGATAGGGAGTGGCAGGTGATGAGGATGAGTGTCCAAGGTTGTGAAAAAAGAAGAGAGATTTAGAACCGCAAGGCGAAACTGTATAATGTTACTTAATTAATCGATATTTACAATATTTGCACTACAAATTTCACTTGATGATTGTCCAACAATGTTCTGATAATTGTCCGCAATTAAATCAGATGTGTGTAAGCGAAATTAATGAGAAATTGCCGATATAATCTGATCGAAACCACAACGAAATAACCGATTTAGAACCGAAAGATTGCGATGTGTCGTTGATGTTAAATTGATACGAACTATCCGAAGAGGCGCGGTTGATCCCCCATTGCCGCCCGAACCCCATCACCGAGATGATCCGATGATCCACGACTGGCCCATTGTGCTGACCAGCCTCAATTTCGGACAGAATGGAGTCCCCTCTTCCACCAGTCCCTAACATTATCGTGGATTTTCCTTGCCTCCTTCCGCCGCCTGAAGCGTACTATTGACGCACTACAGTCATCATAGAACCCAACTTTATCCTCCTTGCGCGAGGATGAAGTTGTTCATGGTTATACGGGGCAAAATCGGTACGGTCCGCCATTTTTCCTAGTTATTTCCATATTCCGTCATATATCACAAACTGTTCAATGGGTCCCAAGGCCCAGTGAAGACTTTCAAATTTCACCAACGTATCCCCTTAAAAATCATAATGATAACGACAATAGGAACACTTCTACATGGATAACTGGGGAATCATCGGAAACAATTCGGATCTCATTAGTTGTGACCCAGAAGAATGAAAAAAATGTAGATTGACCTGAAAAAATTATGTGAATATTGAATGTAAAGAATGAATAAAATAAATCATGCTACACACTGGAAACGTATGATCTTCACATGCATATGGTGCATAACTACTACACATTTCATGTGAGTTTCATATATACACACTTAAAAACCCGTAAAAAGTGCCTACACGATTTTACACACTTAAAACGTGTTAAATTTACACACTTGGGTTTCTAATAGAGCCACAGGGAGATAAATGTTCAGTAAAAATTACGGAACTCACAATTTGCTCACCGAGTACGGAATCGACTCAGAAAATTTAAGTGACGGTATCGTAATTTTTCACAGGAGATTCAGCTAAAAATTACGGAACTCACAATTTGCTCACCGAGTACGGAATCGACTCAGAAAATTTAAGTGACGGTATCGTAATTTTTCACAGGAGATTCAGCTAAAAATTACGGAACGCTCTGGAAAAATTCCGTGACAGTTAGGTAAAATTTAAAAATCAAACGAACTTACCTGTAAGTGACGTTCGATTGTAATTATATGGAAAGTTTCGTTCCAGAGATGAAGTAGTACCGCTTGTTCCTGTACGATGTCGCCACAATCTTCAGCCCAAATAAAAAGAAGACACTGTAGTGTCCCTTCCCCCTAATGTCTCGTACTCAATGCTCATAACTTTTGCAGTCATACATACTTACTTTGGGCGGGTCGCATGAATAATAATTTTAATTAAAAATTGGATGGGTTTATCATCTCTCGAACGAAACTCTCCTTATAATTACAATCGAACGTCACTTACAGGTAAGTTCGTTTGATTTTTAAATTATACTACGAATTTCGTTCACGACATGAAGTATGTAGATGTTTAAAGAAACATGCTTTAATTCTTTCAACTTCATCAACATAAAATTGATTTGATCATACATTCCAAGTTTTTCAGTATAAAACTATAGAGTCGAATAAGTGTTCGAGAATTATCCCCTAAAGTTTTTGCATAGTTTTTGCGAACTCTCGTCAATTCTCTGAGATTGGTCGATTATAAAACTTTGCAAATACTAACGAATCTTTAGACCAACTTCCAGTGGTTTTGATTCTATTAATATCGACGCCTTTCTTTAAAGCTGCAGACGTGACTGCATGTCTTGTACTGTGAGCTTTATATTTTTTATTGATACCACTTTCGGCTAGGAAAGCTTTGATCCACCTCGCAATGCTTTCAGTTGAAGCAGAATGATAAAACTTTCTGGTGGATAACAATAAGCAATCATTATCGCCCCTTAGAGCTTCCGTTTCTTTTAGATAATGTTCGAGCGTGCTCTGCAGGTGTTCAGCGCACTATAAGATACTCCGGAGTCATACTGCAATGTAAGCTAGGCCAGTGCCAGATTCATTGACGCCTCAAACGGGTCTAAATCCCAGGTTATACAAAATTGTAACCACTGTTTGATTGGCCCAGTATATTGTGTGGTGGTAGAGTCAGCCAAGGACGCCACCTTTGTTTCTATCGTATTCTCAGGGATGTTCTTCCTTCGGAAAGCTTCCCTGGTACTCTCCCTGCCATCAAAATTAATTTGTCTGCTATCGGGTGTTGACACGAACTGCACGGAGAGAGAAGTAGATGAGATGATGGTTTAAATATCAACGGTGGTTCCATAAATAGAGCCGTGAGCAGTGGATACTCCAATCTGGGATTACAATAATTCCTTGTGCTTGGTCAGCGATAATCTTTTTTGTTACATTAAGAATAGTTGCAAATGGGGGAAGGCTTAAAAATTCAGGTTTTGCCAATGCAGAGTGAAAGCATCTACCACCCACGCCTCCGGGTCTGGATGCTAACAGTAATATTCGGTACATTTCGTATTGCATTTTGCCGCAAAAAGATCAATCGATGGGTCGCCAAAATTCTCGACTATTTTGGAAAAAGCTTCTCCAGACCATTCCCATTCGGTGTCCAAATTTTTCATACGAGAACCTCGATCTGCCTCTACATTATCTTTAGACGCAATATAAGAAGAAAATATCCAAATTCTTCTTTCTTCACACCATCTCCAGGTCTTTTGCGTTATTTCATTGAGATGGGGGAATTGGACAGCACCTATCCTCTTAATATATGCAATTGTCTTAGTATTATGAACCCTCAACAATAGTTCACACTCTGATAAATCTTTGGCAAAGCACTTCAATCCATTAAAAAGTGCAAGAAGCTCAAAGTAGTTAATAGGAGACCTTTCTACTTGATCCCAAGCACCATACGTCAATTCATCGCCACAGTACGCTCCCCAGCCTGTGGTCGACGCATCCGTAAAGGTCTCTTGCGAAATACGATCAGATCTAATCGGTCAACAACCGTGGGGAATTGTAAGTCCCCACCAATCGAACTTACCTTGCAATGATTTATTTAATTGCTTTTTTCCATCATAATTGTCATTATTTCTAAGAAGGGCCAAATATCTTTGACGTCCAAAAGCTTTTGAATGCAAGTAACCATAGCTGATGGCTGCGCACACTGATGTTAAGGTTCCTACAAACTTATCAAATTCTCTGATGGTCCATACTTTTTTCTTACGTAAATTTTCGATTAGATTGATGATATTCACTTTCGTTTGTTTCGGCAATTCGATTATCATTCGAGACGAGTCTAAAATGAAGCCTAAAAACTTACATCCTGTACTTGGAGTGAACATACTCTTCGCATCATTCATAATAAACCCTGATTTTTCTAATAAATTGCATGTTTTGTGTAAATTCTCTGTACAATCATCTTCATTCCTGCCCAAACATAACCAATCATCCAGGTAAACCACTGACAAAAGACCCGAAGCTCTCAAGGAATTGAGAATAGGCTTCATTATTTTTGTAAATATCCATGGAGCTGTGCAGAGTCTAAACGGCAAACAAGTAAACTCAAATAACTTGTTCTTCCAATAAAAACGAAGATATTTTCTGCTGTCGGGATGCATTTTTACTACGAAATATGCGTCTCGTAAGTCCAAACTCGCCATAAATAAATTTCTTGAGAGCAGTTTTGTTGCCGTTCGCAAGCCCTCCATTTTGAAGTGATCAGCGTTGATGAAACCTTTATTTAATTTTTAAAAATTTAGTACGAACCTCAATGAACCATTAGGTTTGGGGATCAAAAAATAAGTTGAGATAATCTGGTTTCTACACGGTGTACATCTCTGGCTTGCTCCCAACTTTAAGAGCTTACTCATAGCTTCAGAATATTCTATTTCTTCTGATTTATTGAC